ATCCGAGGCGGGCGGCTGCTCAACATGCTGGCTCAATCCCTAGGCGTGTGTTCTTACGAGGAGATGACGGAAAGCGCAAGCAAGGACCTCTATCGTAAGTGGTTAGACCGTTAGCTCCGCTCCTGCGAACTGACTCTGAACTCCCAGGCCTATGTTCGGATTGCGTGCGGGGTATCGGCGAATGGGCTCTGGTGATCAACGGGTACAGAAAGAAGAGCAAACAGCGCCAAGATATACGCAAGGTGCTACGTCGAGAGTGGCGCCCCATTCTGCACGCACTGCGCGATACGACGCCTCTGCCAGACCTCGCGTACGCTCACGGACTTTTGATTGACACTTGGGAGAAGCTTGGCCGAGATCTAGGCATCGAAGAGGGGAACGTCGATACGAAGGCCGGTCAGCCTGCTGCGCGGGTCTGTGCGTGGAAGGGGTGCCCGCAGCGCCTCCATCCAGGGGCCAGCGCTTTGAAGGTGTGCAAGGGTTGCGGAGAGGCGGTACGGTTTCTCGCCGGTCTGCATATCGTCGAGACGCACTGACGGATGTTGCACAGAGCTATTGCAATAATATCTGTCAGCGCAATGACCGGGAAGAGCACAAGCCGGAGTGCAGGCGATTGAAGTGACGAGGGGGTGTGTCTCAGAAGCGAAGATCGTGGCCGACGTGAAGTCGTGGGGATGATGACATGATGAAAGAGTTTCTTGCCTGTACTATACCATTGCTCAATGAATCGTACGCTTTTACCGCAGCAATGCAGGGGAGATTATGGCGGAGGGAGCATCGCTCGTATGGTTCCGGCGATAGTATGTCCGTATCCAGTTTAAATAAGAACACCTTTCGCTGGGGAGAACACGTGTAAGCAGCATCTGGACGCTGGAAGAGAAGGCACTTGGCGCGCGTGTGGGCGCCGCGCCACCGCGTCTGTCATTCGCAAACCACCACCATCCCGTCTCCGACACCGGTTGCATAAGTCGACGAGAGCTGCAGCGCACAGATGTGCGGTAAGCCTGATACATTTGGCTATCATCATACTTGAGTTTCTCTAAGATGGCAGTAGAAGAGGATCGAATGCGGGCAAGATGTGCAGACGCGGCCTGCGTCCCTGTCGGTGACGCCGCGCCTATCAACTGGAGATACGATCTTCAGGGATCACGAGCTCTGCGACGACACTTCCGAACCCTGCAGTAAGATCGATGATACGGACGACTGCCACGGTTGCATCGAGCGGGGGAGACACTGGAGGTCGCAGCGGCCGAAGAGAGGAGCGACGCTAGTACTCGCTTGTGACGCCTTGAAGCTTGCATTCCATGTAGGTATGCTTATCTCTGATCTATAACCTTGCAGATCATATCGTGTACTGCGTAGCGCACCATCCGAGACCTCTGGCGACGCTCAGCGGTTGTAACAGGAGTAAACCTACTCGCGACGTATGTTACGACTCTCATGGCAATGCCGGCGATGTACGCTCCCATCTCGACGCCTGAAACAGGTATATACGCCATTCACATCTGCCTGCGATGATACACTCAGTGTGCTCTTGATGGTACGCCCATCGCAGCCCTTGTCTATCAGGTGCTCGACGGCGCTGCGACAATGTGATGATTCGATTCTCCGAGGCACTAGGACTACCGAGCGTGATCCTTCTAGACCGTTTGTATGACAAGTTTCTTCTGGTACGATCTTGCACGCGCGCGCCGAGTAGCGACTTACTGCTCGCATACAGGATCACCTGGACTCCCATTAATCAGTCCCTGCGCGCGATCTCGCAGGGCAACGGCGGCGATTGCGACTATGACGAGCAACACGCATCCTCCAGACCAGCGCGTAGCACGCTCGCAGCGATACCCTCATACGCATGTACACGACGAGGCCGAGAACGTACCCCGTAGCTCTGTGGATGATCCATTCATACGCACATTCAAGAGCGAATATAGAGCACCGACATCCACTCATCGACATGCACCTCGGAGATCCTGACACTGGAGGTGAACTGTGCACGGCTCCCTGCCCGGTATGCTGCTATACCATGTGCATGTCTTGAGTATGATGACGTTCCGGTTTTCTCTACATCTCTACATTTGGCTGGCACGAGGAGGGCCGGTCTAAGCCCAGCGTTGACTTTGTGTATGTTCTACCAGCTATTGCCTCTCTGTCGCGTTTCACCGATACGCCAAGCAGCGCATTCCGGGCAAACTGAAACCTAGTGCGGTACCGCGGGCTATCAGACATGCAGATATTTAAGGTCGCCATCGAGGGCTGAACCCTCCCGGTCCTACTGCATGACGATCATGCATCGCTATTCGCCTGTGGACCATTGCGACCGCAATGTCGCAAGTACCTGAAGTCGAGCGCTCAGGACCTACACCCACCGGACGGACTCGTGCCTCTCCGCGAAGCTCACTTCCAAAGCAGGCCGCTCCATGGATCCTGCGAACGCAAACCTTCCTGTCAACGCAGGCTTCCTATCAACGGCACTTCATCTCGATTTCCTCGATTTCCACACTCTCGCACGTACGCCAGCTCACGATTGCTGCGCACAATCCGATCTTAGCGCTCTCGCTCTCGCGAGATTGGACATGATAGCCGCTCGATTACTAGGCCGCCGTCGGCGATAGTCGTGTCTTGGCTTGCGATGCTGTGCTATCCGGAGCCGCCGCCCTCAATCTCAGTCAACAATCCCGCGAATCTCTACAGAAGGAGGTGCTTGCTGAGAGAGTCGCGCATCAAGTCACGCTTCGAGGTCGGGACTGGCGCGGTGAGCCGGCAAGCTTGCGCCAGAACATACGGACGTCGGCACCGTAGGTTTGTGGGGTAGAGCCGAGCAGCGCGAGCGCGCCATGTTCTACATGGGCTGTACAAGACTAGCGATGAATCTGCGCGCTTTCTCGGCACATCAGCAGACCGGAAGAACGGCGTACATCACTCCGTGCAGACTCTCCTTCCCTGGTGCCCCCCAGCGCGCTCGTAAGCACGACTTGAAAGCGAAAGTGAAAGCGCCGCGGCAATATCCGCCGTACTCATTGGCATTGGTTAGGTTGCATCCTCATCAAAGCGAGAGCTCAGCGTCTTTGCAGCCCTCAATGACCTTCAGATTCCGCCTATCGCGCGAAGGATGTACAAGGCACGTCCGACGAAGTGCTGCACACTCGCTGCAACGAGGATATTCTCGACGAGATGCACTGACTCGATCGCAGCGAGCATCTGCAGTCGTCCAGTATTCATTCATGCCGAGGTTCAGAAACCTCGATAATGGCCGAGTCTACGCGCTCCTCGGTGGAGAAGATATCCCGTTATTCATCCAGTCTATTGTCCAGTCCTCGATGTACGGTCTTCCGAAGTTGGTGTTTGTAGCGCTGTTCGGCACCATCACTTCAAACGACCATATGTGGTGAGTGCCGTCATTGTCCTTGCACTTGCGAGTAGATCATCTTTGTGGCAGGGTCGGCCTTGGAACCCTTTGTACCCGGCGCCTCTCTTAAATACCGATGTCGATACGACTCTAGCCACCTCTCTACGACCGCCATGGCACCATCAGTGCCCGAGAGGGATGTTATCGAGATCTCCGACGATGAGGTTGAACCCGCGCGGTGTGCCTCATGGAAGGCACGACAGCGTATGGATGCAAACACTACGGAACTACAGACTTTGAAAGCCAGTATCAAGATCCTTAAACAGGTATAAGTCGCTCTTTTCGGATCCACATGGCCTTCTTGCTTATTGAACAATATAGGACCTGCAAGCCTCAAGAGAAGAGACAAAAGCAGGTGTTCTTGTTCAGCAGAAGCTTGAGGCTGATGTACAGGTATGCGTACCAGATGATGGTTCTCGCCTTCAGCTGATAACACCTTCACAAGCGTCTCAAGAAGGGCGAAGAAGAGCGCAATGAGATCCTTGACGATATCATACGGTTTGAGATGGTACGCCGCCGTCGAATGCGTTCATGACTACAAAACTGAACACACGTTCTAGCGTGATCATGCAAAAACGCGAGTGAGCAATCAATCTGCGAGGTATCGATTAGAAGTGAGCTTCTCTCTACGTTTCACTGGCGCACCTGACGGGGAACCTGATTGTAGAAGATATCCGAGTACGTAGCATGCCCCGTATGCCTAATGCCGATGCTGGAAGCGCATATGTAGGTCTGAGTGTGCTGTATGATGAGGGAAGCATGGACTCACTTTGGCTTGAACTGTAGGCTCGTGGGCTGTGGGCATGTCTATTGCCAACAGTGCCTCATTGACATGTTCGACAAGATCCTCAGCGATGCTCGCGAACGTCGTTGCGTCCCCGAACCCTCTTGTCCAGAGTGTCGCCGTCGTATATTGTCGGCGCCCTCGAGGTGCTTCGTGGTACAACACTTAGCTCGCGTGTCCGAGGGGCTTGCGGAATCAGTTCAGCCTCAGGGTATCGTTGGTGCCCAAAATAGGGATGCAGGTGACAGGGTCTGGGAGATATACTTCGGCAAACCCTTCTAACTGTTTCGATCATGTACATGCCTCAATCCCATTGCCGTCAATTGTGCTTCCGCCTAGATTGTGGGTTAATATTTCATTGTTTCTACCATAGTGGGCATCCAGCGTGTGGCTGTACCGCAAGACTCGCCGCCCGTGCAAGCCCGTGCTCAAGATGGGGGCGATTGCATCTACTATATACTATAGATACTGATATGTTGTGGCGCTCTTTCGGCGACTACCCCGATCTCACACTACCGCATGTGCAATAGCACAGCAAAACGTTTTTTGTCCTTCCACATTCACGACAACGCGACCCTGTGCCAAGAAATATAGGTTTACCAGCAGAAGGTTCGATCACATTATATAACAGTACCGTAGACAGAGACACTATTGAGGCAAACGTATTCACTGGATGCTACCTCGTGGATATATATAACAATCCCGTTGATTGACAGAGAGCTCTGCTGTTTGCTGAGCGGGAAGACTGCATTTCCAACCGTCACATGAGGGTTACTTCTCCACGCCTTCGACCATGCTACCCCCCTATTCAGCATAGCCATGTGTACTTCCTCCATCACGTCTACGTGCGCCAGCTCCTCCCACTGACCAGACTGCAGTCCCAGAACTGTCATGGAGCTCGGCGTGTTCGCAATGTACTTCTGATCCAGCGGGAAGGCGACAGTGAGATTGAGGATCCTGCTCTCTGGCAACTCCACGGCAAATATTGCGGTGCCCGTGCCTGACAGGGATAATGGCCAGCAATTGTCCTGGGTATCCGAAGCGTGGTCGAGTAGGGCGGTAACGGACTTGTGCTCATGGGATTGCTTCCAAGAGAGCCCTCGTGCTATTTTGCTTCCCCAGCCTTCGGACAGCTGGAACTTCGAGGACGTGTATGCAGAGACGCTCGCGAGGTGGTTGATGAGCTGTGGCTGATTCCTGCGGAGATGGAACGCATATCCTACGAGTCCGACGCAACATAAGACTAGCATGGGCAGTAGCAGGTATAGGCAACAGGTTATGATCCTCTGAAAGACAGTGTTCTTGGTGGCGAGTTTTCGGCTCTCTTCTCGAGCACGGAGCGCCTAGAAGTTACCCTCAGTAAGGAAGCAAGATAGATTGCATAAGAACTCACTAAAGTATGACCGGAAGCTGGAATGAACCGGCGGTGCGCGTTAACCACAGACCCAACCTCCGGACAGTCGTCTTTCACGTTAGGAAGTTTGATGTCGTCTCTCGATACATTCATAGTCGTTGTGGGTTGTTTTCCGTGGGTCAGCCTAATGTATCGTGGTGGGTGTTGAGGGCATCCCGGGCGACAGGATGTGAACACAAGTTGATTCGGCGCTTACAGACATCGGGCCACAAAGGGGTCTGCCACCAACACGCGTCCAACTTCGACCCTTACGCTGTGGCGCCTGAAGGTAATGTTGACCATCACCACGTAGGCTATACCTGTAAACGCCTTCCGTCTGATATGAGCCAACGTACTCCTGCGCACGTATAGTATTGATGGTCCGCTGGCAGCACTATTGACGCCTGTCATAGAGATTATATTGAGTCTGATCTTGAAGATGCCAATAACCGGTATGATACAGAGGCGGCCGACCACCGCCGTACGAAATCCGCTCTTCGAAAGAAGACCTCAGAATATGATAGCTTGGCCACCGCACACAAGTAATCGTACTTTGGTATTAGACAGCGTTCACGAGCTTACCATATACCCGTTAGAACTCTCGAGGAGTATCTTCAGGGCTCGATGACCAGAATCGAGGAGTTGGAGCAGAGCAAACGCACTCTCGAAAAGCAGGTGAAATACCTCAAAGGATGTCTCGACGTTGGTCACCTCTCGTGTACACACCTCCACTCACACTGAATGTCGCCATCCAGGAACGTGACGGAATTGAAGATCATGGGGGGCCGGAAGGTCATGATCAGCAGTTGGAGCACATAGTTCCGGTACCAACCACGCAGATCGCAACCAGCGACTATTCAGCATCCGAGGTCAAGCTTTTGCAGCAGACGGTCGAACAACTATCAGATGCTAATAAGACCCTACGTGATGAGTGTGATGAGGCTCGTGCCGAACGAGACGAGGCTCGTGCTGAACGTGACGAGGGTCTCGGGATCATTAGTCGGCTTCAAGACGAACAGGAGACCGATGCGTTACATAGCTGGGATGGCGCTGTCGAAGCCACCACAGAGACGATGGAGAAAGAGATGCAGGAAGCTCATGGCGGAGAAGACGAGGGACATTGCGACCTCGACTATCTGGGTCAGGTAGTAGTGCGTCTAGTAGTTGATGGACAAGCACAGGTCGCAGCCCAGCCAGATGGCACAAGTAGTACGTGCACGTCACAACAAAGGAAATTGAGTAACACTGTTCTAAGCCTATGCAGCTGGCCCAACTGGCCAACATTCACGTGCCAATGTTACCGAGGCAGTAGCTGCACCTCCTGCTGACGTTGTAGACTCACCCGTCATTGGGATGGACATACAAAGCGAGGTTCGTAGGCTTATCACGGGGGTCAGCGATTACCAAGCCTCTGATTCCAATGGTCGCTCACGGGTGTGCACAGAGTACGAATCTGGATGGCTTCCTAGAGCGTCTAAATGGATCAGATAGCGCCATTCATGAAGCATACATGGTCCTGGACAAGGCCAACCAGAGAATGGAAGAGAAGGACTCTGTCATATGTGAGCTTCAAGTTAGAGTCGACCAACTAGAAGACACCCTGGATTCAAGAGCGCAAGACGTCGAGGATGACAGACTTGCATTCCAGTCATGGCTGACGCTGAGCTATTATGTGCGCAGGTCCCACAGCTTCAGACCGCCAGAATCTGACGGCTCGTATCTAGGCAACTGAGGTCATGGAGACCACTCTCAACACCGAGAGAAGAGAACACCAGATGACCGTTCAACTTCTAACGAGGCAACTACATGAGGCAGAAACGAGATGGCAAGACCAGCGGAGACATTGTGCGGATGAAAAATGGGCTCTATTGATGGCACTGGAAGAGTCCGGATACGCTAACACAATCTTCCAAAGTGCCGTGGTGCAGCTCGACGCCGACATATACAATATCGCCCAGAAAATTTCCTCGCGCAGGGATGCAGGGGTTCAGACTGATCAGGGCGATATGTCAATTCAGAAGGCGGACTCCGATGTTCGGACAATGGCGGTTCAAACCGATATCGATGATCACATTACTTCGCCAGCTTGCGGGAGGACCTCCGAACTCCAAGACACGACTCTTATGCTTGAGGCTGCTATCGCAGATCTGGAGACCAAGTCGTCCGAGCTCACTTCCGCGCAGAAGACCGTCTCCGAGCTCGAATCGCAACTCAACATCGCTAATCAGCAATCCGTTGAGCTCGAAGCCGATCTCGAGATTGCGGCTGTAGCGCTCGAGGTCGAAAGGGCGACTTCCGCGTCTACGGTCGAGCTTATAGTTTTGCAGGAGGCTGCCAACGCAGAACTGAAGAAGGAGCTCAGCGAAGGAAAAGCCAAGATGCTCGAGCTCGCGAGCAAAGTTTCATCACTGGAGTCCGCGTCAGTCGAAGCTGGCCACATTGCTACTGGGCTTGTCGCAGCGAAGGCGTCCGTATCGAAGCTTGAAGCGGAGCTTGCTTCGTCCAGGGAGTCCGTGACCGCTCTTCAAGTCGAGAGTGCATCTCATAAAGAGGCTTCCGAGACGTCTGAAGCTTCTTCTAATGAGCTCAAAACGCAGCTTGAAGCCGAGAGGGCCCATGTCGCGTCCCTTGAAGCCCTCATCGCCAGAGGGGATGGGCAGAAGACTCGCGCAGATGGACTAGAGGTTGACCTTGCCGTGTCGGAGGAAAATGTCGCCAAGCTTGAAGCTGACCTCGTTGCTGTTCGAAAAACCGTTGTCGCTCTTGAGATTGAGGTTGCCGGCTACGAGGAGACCGCGTCCATCCGTGCCGCTTCACTTGATACCGCACAGAAACGGACCTTTGAGCTTGAGGCGCAAGTGGAAACGCTCCTGATCACTGCCAGTGAACATGCTGTCGCTGTGTCCAATCTCGCGGCTGCAACAGCTGCGAAGGAGGCGTCAGATGCTGCGCTTGTTGCGGAGAAAAAGAGTGGACAAGACAGGACGGCCGAATTTGACGCGACGAAAATCGCCCTATCTGCGGCGCTCGAACTTACCACGGAACTCGAGAGTAAGCTCGCGCAAGCTGAGACTCAGACGGCAACGCTCGAGTCCAAGCTTGCGTCGTGCAAGACGTCATCCGAGGCTTCTGACAAGGCACTCGCTACCACCCGGGAGAGTCTCGTAGCCATTCAGAAGACCGTCTCCGAATCCGAGTCGCGTGTATCCAAGCACTCCGCTGAGGCCGAAGCTGCCCTGAACGAGCTCGCCGTTGCAAAAGAGACTGTGACTAGGCTGCAAGGGGATATCATCGCGACTAGAGACGCCGGTAATATTGCGCTGGCTGCTGAGAAGGAGAACGGCGTTAGGAAGGTCAACGAGCTCGACAGTGCCAACGCCGCTCTTGCGGATGCGAAACAAACCAACGCAACGATCGATGCGGAGCTTATCAAAATCAAGTCCGTTGCCGATGCACTCAAGTTCGATCTTGCGGCATCGAGGACAGCTACGGCCGAATCCACATCCGAACTCCACGAAATTCGGTCCGAGCTGGAGGCAGCAAAGCAGGCTGCGTCCAAGCACAAATCCGCTGCCATTGAATACTGCGCCAAGACCGAGAATCTGAACACAGAGCTGCGTATTGCGAGGAAGGCCAGTGCAAAGCTTCAGAGTGAGGTCGCTGGCGCGCAGTCTCAGGCGCGCGAGGAAGCCGAGAAACTTGAGGTCGTTAGGGCTGCTGTTGAGCAGGAGAGGAAGACGGTCGAGGTACTGAAGAAAGAGTTGACGGCTATGAAGGAGGCTGCGCGCAGGGCTGGAGAGGTAACACCCAAGGGGAGAGGGAGTATACATTTCGGTCATAATACTGATGAAGAGCAGAAGGGAGAGGAAAGATGGCCAGTTCGGCGCATGGAGCGGGGGGCCATGGACAGAACATCTGGAGTGGACGTCAGCGCATATGTTACCGAACGCCCACGCATCATGGTCGGCGCACAAGCGAGCGAGACTATGCATCACAGAGTTCCCGGGTTGCAAGCGGTCGAACTGCAGCAGATACATGCCCCTATATCTATGGAGATCGACTATGTCTCCTCTGCCGAGATCATCACGCCTTCTAGTAAAGGTGAGTTTCATCAGGCAATCATCTCCTGGAAATGGCTACATGAAATCTTTACCCAGTTTCCGTGTACTGCGTCGGGATAATTGTCGTCCTCGTTGCGTCTGCTGGCACATACGTTGGCTTGGCTTTTCAGTATTTAAGCCGTATGCCTTAGAGTCATCTTAACAGCCTTACGCGTTCAGTTGGGTCTGAATTGGAGCTTCTATAAAGTCATTCCACCCCTCCGTAGGCTGTTCGACAATTTGATGGAGAAATATCTCCGTATGGAGACCATCGCACAGTGAAGGTTTCAGATTGCTGTCACAGTGCGTGTGTATACCACAGTGCAGCCACTCACTAGAGCCACGTTAGAGCATACTCTCGTGTTTTGCAAGACCCCTTCGGAGACGCGATGGGGCACTGTCAGTGTCACGATCCGCGCCTGGAAGAAGCACGCTAGCAACCAGTATAGCCTATGATGGACGAGCAAGCGACACGGTCTACGAGCCGTCGAGAGACTTGCACGATCCTTTACGAAGCGCGAGAAATATATGACAGCGCGAAGGCGCCGCACTGATCGATGAATGAAGTGGAAAGAAACGAAATGGCCGCGCGCGAACCCTCGGTTTGCCGTTATACGGCATCGGCCGCCAGGCGACGAACCGGTTCGCCGCGCGAGGTGATAAGTAGTCTCTTTCGCAACCTTCATCACCTGATACATAGAGGGGTAGGGTTCGGTACTATACGCTATTGAGCTCAAGAGGACAACCTGCTCAGGCGACCAAAGGCGATGGCTTTAGTATGGACAACTTCGAACTGTCCGACCTGAAAGCGTACTGCGACTTCGTGTTCACTCGACATCCTCTGGCCTACGCTGCAGCCGCAAGGCTGCATAGGTCTCGTCGTTGACTGGCTCGGAATGCTCTACTCCAACATGCGCTACGTTATCCAGCTTCAAGACGAGTTTATCAGACGCCTCCGCCTCTGACATTGGGGTTCTCATCGGTGACCCATCCTCCCTCACGCTCTGTAACCTCTTCATGTCCGACTTCCAGCCTCCACCCCATCGCGACGACCCAATCCCTGGGTTACAGAATGTACGGGTGTCGCATGTCGAGCACGCAGACGACATGCAGCTCATCGCGCTCGGCGCAGATGGGTTGCAAGCACTCCTCGATTACCTCTACCACTGGGCAGCCGAGAAGCAGCTGCTCGTGACCAGCATCAAGACGTGGATCATGGTGGTCGGAAAGCTACCGAAAACCCCCTCAATCTTCCGTCTGGGCGGGCTACCCTTCAAGCACACGGCAAGACACACACACGTTGGCGTGCATATCAAGTCGACTGTCGGCAACATCTTTGCGCTACACTACTCCGACGTCGCGACGAAGGCGCGCGGCACCGCGCTAGCTAGCGATACTGGCTGGCCTCTTTGTCTTTGGCGATATCCCCCCGGAGACCCTGCGGCTCATGTATCTCGGACGGGTGGACACAAACACGGGCAGTGGCGCGGATATTATGGTTGATATCGATAAGAACGCTAAGAAGCTCATGCGCGTGCAGTACGAGTTTCCAAGGCGCTCAATGTGTATCTCGAACGACTGGTCTCCGCGCATGTCGCTGTTCACGGAAATGAATGTCTGGCCAATTTGATACAGGTGACTGACGCTTGCTTTCTGCTGCCTCAGGTACCTGCTGCAGCAGGATGACAGTTATCTTGTGCGCGCGGTCCTGGAAGGGCAGATCACCATGTATGATGCCACGGTGGCCGGGTTCCTGGGGGGCCTACGCATCGCGCTAGACCGTCCGCCTGTGAGGATAGGGATATCCTCCGTTATCAGATCTGGAAAGAAAGGTGGAGAAGTTTTTGGGCGCGAAGGGCGATGTTGAGGGTGCGCGGTTCAACGAGTATGTCTTTGTCCCATCTCGTCCCATTCTATATACTAACTTGAGTGCATCTGTAGTGAGAAATCCGACGACGACGACGAAGACGGAGACGAAGACGTGCTGAGCGACTTCAGCGACGAGCACTTCTCCTCCAACTCTGACTCCGATTCGGACGCGGAAGAAGAAGTCGAGACCGACGCTTCGCGCGCTGCACGCCAAGCGGCCATGGATAAACGACAAGAAGCAATGGACAACCTCGTCCCCGCGCTCCCCGCGTCCGAATACGGCCAAATGCCCGCATTCTACCACTCGAACTCCCAGCGCGTAGCACGCGCAACCGTACACACCGACACCCTCGGCGGCGCTCCCTCCACCTCCACCTCCGCGCCAACATCCCGCCCATCCACCGCGCCATCCGGGCCACCTCGCCAGCCCCGCGCCCCGATCCTCATGCGCGACCGCTACGAAGGCGTCGACTCGGACGACGAAACGGACTCCGATTCCGCCGACGATGCCGGCGCCGAGTCGGACGCGGAGAACCAGCCGCAGATCGTGGACGACATGGGGGACGTCGAGGTGGACATGGCCGAGGAGGAGGAGGAGTTTCTGGACTTTGCGCGGGGCGCGCTGGGGATTGGGGAGGAGGAGTGGGCGCGGATTGTGAGGGAAAGGAGGGCTAGGGGCGGTACGTCCTACTTTCCATTTTCCACTATTTGGGGCGCATGCTGATTGCGGTGTGATGGTGTAGCATTCGTACCGACCTCCACCTCCAAGAAACCGACCTCATCCTCAACTACCACGAGCACAAACGCCAGCGCGAAAGCTCACGAACCCCAACTCCGCGCGCCCAAACCCGGCCCGCGACCGAACGCCAACCTGAACCTCGACTCGTTCGAGGCTGTTATGCAGGCTATGGAGAGCGAGCTTGCGCGATCACGGGCCGCGAAGGAGCCGCCCAAGGCTCCCAAGTCTGCGGCCGTTGCTGCGAAGGATAAGGGCAAGGGGAAGCAGAACGAGACGCTGGAGGATGCGGCAGCGAGCCTCCAAGCGTCCGTCGCCGATCAACTCAGCGCAACTATGAAGGCCGGCGCCGCATCCGTCAAATCTCACTCCGCCTCCACTCCCGCCGACCAAGACGAAGAGATGGACCTCGACATCGAAGCCGCGATGGACCGAGAGCTGCGCGCCGCTCTCGCCTCCTCCTCCAACAACCCCGATGACTCCGCCGCCGACGACAATGATTATGATGGCGTAGTCGACGAGGACGGCCTACCGCTGCATATGGAGGGCGGGCTCGACTATAACCTGATCAAGAATTTCTTGGAGAGTTTTAAGAGCCAGGGAGGGTTGACGGGGCCGCTTAGTAGTCTTGCGGGGAGGTTGCAGCCGGGGTGGGGTTTGCCGAGGGATGATGCGTGAGGGGGTTGGGGCTTGTTGTATGAGACTCAGATGTATTACTAGTTACATGTTGCCATTTACAATGACCGATAGTCTGCCGATAGTTTGAGATCGAGTGAGGCGGCACACCTAGCGACGGCCCGATGTTCCGATGTGGTGCCGAACCTTCGTCGCGTCGTTCGCTCTGACGTTCATCTTGAGCTTCTACCTTCTACACGCGAATACCATCCCTTCAAGTTTACAGCAACTGCGGAGATCGACAACTTGCACCCTTGCTTCAACATTGTAGGTTGAGAAATACGATAGATACAACAACGTGAATAGACAGACATCAGGGCGACCCTCATTCAAAGCCAAAAGCAGTCCTGAAGTTCTCACTGATCGTTTCATGATATTCTGCGAGTTTGTGAAACTCTTTCTGCTTGTCGAATGCTAGGTAGACCGCTTGAGCCCATGACATGTAATGCCTGAGGCCATGAAGTGAAATCGTTATTTCCCGCATAAGGGTTTATTGGGTGGCCCGTGGCGACACGTGTTGGGCCTAGATCTCCCTAGTCCTAGTCGGTTGACCCCGGGGAATACTTACTCACTTACTCAGACCCGTGTCGCCCAGTCGTCCTGTACATCTCATCGTGAACCAGGGTACACATATGCTCGAACCCGCTCGAGTCCGTCCGAGTCCGCTCGAGTCCGTCCGAGTCCGCTCGAGTCCGTCCGAGTTCGCTTGAATCTGCTCTAGTTCGCCCGGATCCGTAAACAACCACAGTCGATCATGTGCATCCATATCAACCTCCAGATATCGGTTCTCTCTCTCTCAAAGTCCTACAAACCAACGATAGGACCTGGAAGGCGAGGCATGTCCGATACAAGGGAGTCTTGCATCGCGCAGTGCACACCTGCCTTCCGGGTGCCACCTCGGGCAACTGTATCAGGCGACACAACGCATCATACCATTGCCCGTCTGGAGGTATCTTCGACTGTACTTTGGAATGAAAAAGGTGGTTATGTCGGAAAGCAGAGTCAAGCACTTCCGGCCGCACATCTTGAACTGCCTGGAACCCGGGAGGAGGTCAGTGACTCGTTGGTAGTTGGTGGGTAGAAGCTCGTAATGTCAAGGATGATAAAAAGTTGAGCAACGGCGTACTCAAACCCGCCATCTTTGCACTTACCGCCAAAACGTACCTACTATCGTTTCTCCCAGGAACTTGCCATGGACGACTATGCTCCCGCTCGCTTGGGCTGCTGAACACTCCAATTCTGAACTCCTAGACAGTCGGGAATGCTTGAGAACTAGGGGAACGCGCGGTGCCGCGACTTCGAGCCATCAGAGAACGGCCTGGAACGGTATCGTCGTCGTCGCGCCGGCCGTATCCAGTACGCGTGCACCCGCGGTAACCGTTGTCATCTTTCTCGTCCACAGTAGACTACCGACGACCGTAATCCTGCCCCTCGTCGTCCGCTCGAGGTCCTTCCTCTCCGGCCTCTTCGTCCTCATGCAGGCGTTGCGATAAACTTGCGTAAATTTGCTCTTCTCTGGCGTCGGACTGGCCACTTTGGAGCAGTGCATCATCAAGATCCGCCAACTCTCCGCCTTCATCCTCAGAAGACCGTTCTTCATCTTCATCCCAGTCTTCGGTTACGGGCAGAGAAAGCTCCTGCCGATCGAGGTTGTCCTTCAGATACTTTTTGCGGACACAATATCGTCAATCAATCATACCAGCTCGACACATCAAAGAGACGATTCATACATTGTAATGATCCTCAAACATCCCATCGGCGTAATATCTGCATGCGCTCGAACTCATGCGCAGCTATTCCGCATCCGACGTAGCGTCCAGTTGTGCTGCCTGTACAGGCACAGTTGCCTATTGTGCACTCTCGGTGCCGTGGGACACGAGCTTTTGAAGAGGCAGCGCCTTGACCAGGCGCGCGGCCCGGAAGCGTGGTACCTCCACACCAGTTCTCGAACTTTCATAGATAGAACCTCGAGGCGTCCTTCAGTGGCGTCTTCGTCCGGTTCCCGACGCATCCAACCTCGCCCCCCTCGATGTGGGGGTGTTCGCGCGCGTGTTTGGGGCGCAGACTCGTGTAGGCGGCCACTCCAGCGACTTACCGGGCAGTGCCAGTGCTCTCAACATTTAGAGGGGTAATGAGACGAAATATCTTCTGACGAAACGAGCGGGATCGTCGATATCTGAGGGAAAGCCTTGGAAAGTGGGCTGTTCCTGGCGTCGCGCGATCATAGTTGATAGCCTCATGTTTGACTCGGCGTCGTGCTCAAGTCTTACCCAAGCTCTGACAGTTCTCACGACGCCCGCCTCTCGCGGCGCTCTCAGCTCTCTCCGAGCATTTCATTTGGCTCCGCCTACGATAGGTTGAAGATTGTTGCCGAGCCAAGTTGCTTGTTGCGGTTCATATATGTGCATGGGGTTTGATGAGCCGTACATTCAGAAGTGTCGATTGCCCCAGAAGCTTCGCTGATATGACAATGTGCCGTTTCGAATGATCAGGTCAAAGCCAACTCGCTATGCCTTCGTCCGTGGTCGCTGACTACTCTCGACGAAGCAGCTCCAAGCCCATTGCGAACCACCCCCTTTCACGTGATTATAGGTACCGCTCGGTCTAAGCTAGGGCCACTCTGCAGCACACCACGACTGCCGATGCCACCCTCTTACAAGCAGCTACACAAGCTTACGTCTCATGCCTCTACTATATCTGCTGTCTGCTTGAATGCTACAGGTAGCCTTCTTGCTTGTGGGGACGAAAGCGGGAAGGTGTCTGTATGGAATCTCAAGTTGGGAGGGGAGGCTAGATTGATCCAAATCCAGAGTGCTGTAACAGCGATACAGTGGGCGCATGGAGGCTTCTATATCTGCACGCAAGCCGGTGTCATGTGCGGCGTGTTTATCAATCCGATAGTTGCGTATCAATTGTGCTAGTTGCGGGTACAGCATCTCAATAGTGTCACGTCTAGTTTGACCGTATGCAGATCCGCACAGCCAAGATAATGGCTCACGGCTCTCTCGAGAATGTAATCTTTCTACGAGGCTCTGATAGTGATTATCTCCTCGCTGTAGGGAGGGATCCGGTGGCTCTTGACCTGTGGTCTCGTGGTGCGTACGGCTACCGAATGGATGTACGACAAATGTTCAATATGATATAGGCACATGGGAATATATTCGACCTCTCTCGTCGGTCATACAGGAACTTCAGCGTCGCCACCGTGAAGGCCAAGAGGTCGTCATCACCGCAGTCCATTGGACCACGACATCCTCCCCGCGTACTCAAATGCAGGCGGCAAGGGGGCGTCAGGGGCGTCAGGGGCTTGTTGGGCGATTGATCATATGTTGCCGCTGGTCCGGTATCATGTAGGTGGCCCTCAACTTGACGCATGAATAATTCAAACCGGACTACTAGGTGCTGGGATCTCGAGAACGATTGTGTATTGTGGTCCTGGTGTTTGGAAGGATGGTAAAGAATAATCCGTTACCTTGAAGATATGATATTGATGAGTATCCCTTGTTGGCCAGTGGTGGCTTTGCAGTGTCGCCTGATTCATTGACGCTGGCCTGCCAGGCTAAATGGGAACTTTTTATCTTTCGGATTAATGGAACCAACCTTGAATTCACCCGACGGCAGTCACTTTATCCTCGAGCGTCTCGAGCCGACAAGCACCAAGAGAAGGGCACCAGCATTCCCCTACTCTTTGTGCCAGGAGACACAGGGCTTCTGCTTGCGGGGAGCATTCGTGGGGTTGCACAACTTATACGCGTCAGTGATGGGGGTATACATCAATCTCTTCCTCACGGTACGGTCCCTCTCCACTTGTAGAAGTGGAACAACTGAATCAGGTGGATGAATACAGGGCACACACATATCAAGACACTTACGGTGCGCCTGCTTACCAGGGATAACAAGCTAAAAAACCTCATATTTATGCTTGTAGGCTGCTTGCGATGACTCTTCCAGTGCCAGTTACATCACAACAGGAGCTAACAGCGACTCTGGGAGTCAAATTTATGTGTTCGAAGCGTTCAATCTTGAGGAGACCGATCTTAGGGTGATGAATGGGAGTTTGCCTGGGTGGGGTTGGTACGGTATCGTGGTGCTAATAGTCGTATGCCTCATATTGATCGTCGCTGGATGTTTTTACTGGTACGAGATCACTCCCATGTTCTAGTGATTATCGTTTTTCATGTATCCCCGTGTAATGATAGTCTTAATAAGCTAGTTAGCTTCACTGCCTGTCACACTGCCAGTCTTACACTGCGAGGGGTGTTGTGGCGTCATGAACATTCAAGGGGTATTGAAGCTGTACCGTCCGAAATATCAGCATGATGAGGGCTTCTGTACAACTCCATATAGAGAACAGTCCGTAACGAGCCACCCATAAGGTGAGGAAGGCGATACGGACCGGTGGTAGAGGCAATCCGCGCAAAAGCGCCGAACACGTGCGCGCGGCGCGAAGTTCAATGATTAGGTGCGTGCGTGCGACTTGTCTCGGGGGGCAAACATGGTGAACCGACGTAGGACGTATCAATGTCATTACCTCCAAGCTACCTAGAACACAGCATATCATACCCTGGCTCACTTTCGTAAGTCGTGCGCCGATATGAAGACCGTGACGACGGATCTTTCAGGCCAAGAAGCGACGCAGTCCGCTTTCTCTACTTTACCCGTGCCGTGATCTTTTGAATACACGAGGTTGATTAGGACTCTCGTCACCAAATTTTCGGGTGTATGTAGGTACAGAGAACTGTCGCGAATGTCTTTCGCCGTTCTCGACACGTATCAACCTCACAGAGACGACAGGCATCCGCCCGACATTTCTTCCACGTTCAATATATCACCCTTACCTGGAATTCCGAACTGAATGACTGGCAGTCGCTTGACTGCTAATTTGTATTGCAATGTGGGATATTACAGTCATAAAAGTGTCCATCGCCACCACGAGAACGGTCTATACAGTAGGGAAGAAGATGACTGCTCTAGAAGTTCGAGTACTTCCAAAGCATCCGATCCAATGCCAGCTCATTATCGTACATGGGAAACAAACTGCGAAACATGTTGCGCCATTCGGTAGAACGCGGGCACTGAGCAACAGAGGATACAATTTCCCAATACTCCGGAAGCCAGGCAGCACACTCCCAATCAACGAGACCCACCGGGCGGTAATCTGAGTTAACCAGGATATTGCCCGGCGTGAGATCACCGTGGGTAAAACAGAGGCGATAAGCCTTTTGATCTCGCGCAGCCCCCAATATGTGGGCCTCGGGGCCATCGGCACGCCTAACGCGTAGGCAAGTCTGTTCATGAAACGCCTGCATCGTGCGGAAAGGTCCGACACTATGGCTATGAGATAGCCTGTAGCTGACGAACGACGTTGACGCGATCCCGGAGACCATCTCATTGGAAGGTGGGGCAAGAGCTCGAAGCTGTAGTAGCCACTCGTGGAGGGTATCCGAGAGCGTCGATGCCTGCTCGTTGGACAATGCGGTCAGGTCGATGCCTTCTCGGGCAAGAGCAAGCATAGATCTTCCAGGAAGCTCAGTCATTAGCACACACACCCCGGTACCGTCTTGAGACGGGGTGTGGATAACGTCCAAGATGGTTGGAACTGGTATCGTCGTCTGGGTGCCAACAAGTTGAGTGGAAAGTGCTTCCACGACCCTGATACTGCGCGTCTTCATGACGAGCCGGAAGGGCAGTCTCATAACGAAAGGCGATGATGTGGCGCTGCCAAAGCGTTGCAGGGCTTGGTAAGCGAGACTCCGTAGTTGAACAGGCATCTTCAGCCAGAGAGACCACAGAAAGCTAGCGAGTGATGGTCGTCTGGGAATTTTGTCAAGATCACCCGCGATTCAGAGCCGCCGTCCACTAACCTGTGATACTCGAAGAGTGCAGCGGGAGCATCATCCTTGAACTCCATGACTGGGTGAAGAGGGGGAGATTCGAATATGTGAGTAGATCGGAGACGCTGGCAAGTAGTACGGATCGACCCCGCGCGAAATTCGGGAAGACGGTCCGATGAAGATCCGGCGCGGCCGTCCTGATGTCATCGTCTTCAGCCCTGTTCTTGTCACTTGCTACCACATCGCTTTGATCGATTGGAAGTGTTGCTTACCCCGTACTGGAGGCATGCATGCGGAAACCTTGATAAGCATACGCGTCGATCCTTCAATGCTACTCGCTGATTTGTCGGAACACTTCGAAGTCCGAGGCGTAACCCCGGGTATTGCGCAGTCTCGCGTTCTGCCTTGATGCCGTCTGTCAAGGCTACTGCACGGCTCTGCTTTCATACTGCGGGCTATTGTCATTATCTTCTGGCTTTCTCGCGGGATGCGCTCGCTCGCTCGGACAGGCGCCTATCGAGCGCTATTTAGGACCGAGCGCTGGTAGTTGATCCTACTCCGCCGCAACTTATCCCTCTTATCGAATTCGCAATCGGTGGGCCATACTACCTCACATAATATCGCGGATCAGTATTGACTCGTACAAATAGTATCCAGATGGCGGAGCCCCAACCCGATGCGCCGAGACTCGAAGTTGGCATCATATACGCCGTCCTGCATACTCGCTCGGCCGACTGGCTGGACTCAATGAAACACTGTCACTACTCCATCGCTGTTGCCACTAGCGACACGACGGTCATGCGGTGGCACGCCACCAATGAGAACGCTGCCTGGGATAACGAGGTGGGGGCATTAGCGAACGTATGGGAAATAGTGTGCAAGCCCTACACCTGCACAGAATCCAGGGCTCTCGTGCTTCTAGTCGTACTCGGTGTGTCCATTCCGTCTGCGACCTCTGTAAGTACTTCTGCTGACCATCTGAATGAGAAAAGGTCGGATGCACGCAGACTGGTCCGTAGAGGTTCTCGACGGTATCTTCAGGCAATCCCCACCTCTCTACGTGCCCGAGGAGGACCAGGAGCGCTTCCCGAAGTTCAACTGTCAGTCGTGGTTCGTCAACGCCGTGCGCCTTCTGGCGCATCACAAGGGCATATGGTGTCCCAACCCTTACGACCTCTTGAAGAACTGTGCTGACATGTGTCTTGAACACGAGCGTTCTGTCATGGCGATGGAGAGCCGCTACCAGATCCAGCTGACTCCGTACAGTGACACCTACCGTGCTCCTTAGTCACAGGTTCCTGGGGTGGTGAGCCTTGTTGCCCCGGACTCTTCGGTGGTGCGAGCGTGCTCCCCGTAACACTCCGTCGCTGCGCACTATGTAATCTCCAATGAATGTCAATACGTATATCGATGATCCCCATTTGCTCAACGAGGCCACCGAACGATGTCTGGTTCATATGCATGTGCTCAAGAGATGGCCTTGGGTACGATAGGCCAATAAAAGCGCGAGTTTATTTGAGAGACCAGAGAAAGGGACAGATGAGTCAATCTATGTAGGCCATGATGGTAGGTGGGGGAAGGAGTCGAGAGGTGATCCAACGTATCGTTGGCCACCGGGGATCTACAACAGTATCGTACATTGCCTGTAGTGCACATTGAACTTTGAATACACATCATGGACAATGGCATCTACCCTAGGGATGGCGCCTGATCTAGAACTAGAGGGGCGAATATATCTGGAAAATGATACATCCCCGCTAAGATACAAGCTGCGGCATCGACCATGGCAAACAACTCGTTCAGAGAGTACGCGCTTTCATCAGCGCCGAGCAGAGTGCGCAAGCTGTCTAGCGAGGCCATGACACGATGAATATCCGTGAAGACCCGCGCGAGAATCTTCTGAGAAGAACTATTGCGTTCACAGTTAGTCTCCAGTGCCTTGCGGTGGTGCGTCAGAGAGATATGTAGAGCAAAGGTGGGTTTTACGACGTACCACCACTAATTGAGTTCCCTCGTGACGGTTACGACCTTCGGTTCCGAGACGCCATACGTACGCGGCCACGAAGTTCAGATTATTGAAGCTTTTGCGAGCCATTCGAAGAAGCCTGGACGAAGACTCCTCGATCACGCGTTGATGTCCATAGAGGTCTTTGACGGCTGCGTATGCAGGTGAGCAGTGATGTTCTACCTCCGCCGCGCTTCGAGTAAGCATTAAGATCATGGACGTTAGAGCAGATTGCATAGCCCGCCTATCAGCGTCGGAGGGAGAGTTTAAACGACTGTAATCGAGCATCTCTCGCTGGAAGAGTACAAACAATCTAGATCCAGCCAATGCTTGAGTACGATTGAGAGACGAGTCCAATCATTGGTGCGACTCACCGGCGAGACATTATCCCGACTTCCGTCTGGCACCTTGCCACCACCAACTCGGCTTCTACGGCCTTGGATACGAACACACGTGTCTCGTTCTCAACATCATCAAGTGTATACCACACAGGAACGGTGGACAGGAGTGTGTGAAGGTTCCTATCTTGCAACAAACGCGCCTGACGGATCCCGCTGATCACCTTAGGAGCGTTGTCGTCCTTGAACGCGTCGTATCCGTAGGCAGGTGTGAGGCCACCATTCGTATGCAGCTCTGAGCCTCCCGTCGTATCTATCGTATCCGCAGTCGAGCGCGAACAGATGTACAACACGCGGCACATAGTATGTGCCATCCCAGTCATGGCATCATAGGACTCGCGGATGGGAGTTAAGAACGCGGTGGCGTTGTTAAAGGCGCTGCTGGTTGTGTCGATAATGTCGCTCATGTGGCAGAGTAGACGCGAAGCATAATGAGTCACGAGTGCAAGCGTGACTAGCAAGAGCCAGATATAGGAACAGAAGCGCATGGTGTGCAGCTACGAAGAGGGGTTGAACAGAAGGCCGAAGTCGCTGACAGGGAAAGCGATCATATAGGTACGTGAAGATATCCACAAAAGACCATCGTGGCAGGTGGAGACTGGATCCACCAACGTAGCACAGTCTTCTCGGCCACAAAGTGTGATGCAAACTGGTCGCTGAATGTAGCGAGTAGCCTGTATCATTGATCTAGAGAGAGATGATGGACGGCGGGTGAGTCGCGTCCAGCAGGCCGCACTACGTACATACTCATCTCCCAAACTTGCCGTTTCCTATTACTATCCGTCCGCCAGCGCACATGTACTCGAAGGAAGCTTCCCGCTTGAGGTGTATTGCGTACAGTATACCGTAGTGGACAGCGAAACGTAGCAGGCTGTGGAAACATACATGCTTTCAATCACCGGCAACTTCCGCGAGGCAACGAACCGGTTCGTTGCGTTCCGGCATCATTCGTTAGAGTGGCTTTTGCCCTGGCTTTTGGGGGCTACACGCGTAAAGGCAGACTCGAGCCGAGATAGTACATACCTCAGACCGTGATCTGCGTCAAACACAAGTTTGCCATGGCGCGCGGAAGTCATACACAGCGATGCCTGTGCCAGGCTTCTGGGTGCTGTCATCATCGGGACCCGGACAAGTACGGCAATATTGTTCCTGGCCGCGTCTTGACCGACACGCAATACCGCCAACATAAACACGCGGAAACCGTCTACAACCTGAACCACGGAAACACCAATGTTGCGCCTGTGCAGTCACCAGCCACGGACTCACTATCGAATGCCCTACCCCCACTTGCTTCGACGGAGCGCACAACAGGCCGAGTGTCATCCCCCGTTGAAGTGAAAGAGGAAGGTGATCTATCCCGGTGCCAGAGGACGCGTCTACAATACATGGAAAATCTGGAAATACAGTATGACGCTCTGGCGAGACCGGACGAAATAGACGGACAACGACTGGTCTTCATACATCAGCCCCGCCTTCCTCTCCCGGCATCGTTCGACGACTCGACCCTGCTTGCCCTTCTACCTCACAATGCGTATAACGACGCTCTTGTCTCCTATGAGGCAGACATCTTCCGACTCCTTATGCGTGCAGAACGCCCTTGCGAACCGGCACACCAGTGTCAGGCTAATACAGACGCACAATCTCGGATCACTAGCAGACTCCGGTGCACGCTCGAATGGCTGCTAGAGATCAAACAGGAAGCCTGGATCTCACAAGCTCAGTGTTCGACTGAGCTCGACGAACGTCCGCCCAGTCCGCGACTCAACCAGAACACCAACGAACGTAACTCGATCGATACAAGCTCCTATATGACGTCCGTGCCCCGCGGTTGGACTCCTCTGACGGCCATTGCATATATCTACATTGCATATTCGCACCTGCACGGACGCGTGTCCCACGAAGAGCTCAAGCGGTCGATCTTCACGATAAAACTCATCATGACATTGTCATCTCGCGGCGATAAGCATGTCGCCCGGACTGTGCATGATATGCCAGACACTTCTCCGGAGATCATCAAGAAAATGTGTCTGAGTCCGGTGACGCGGTCATACGTCAAATGCCCGAAATGTTGCTGGCTATACCTTGATACGGGCCCAGACTCATATCCAACTTTCTGTACCCGCCATATAGATGATGTAGGGCCCGAGCCCTCTGGCAAGGAGGGGTGTTGCGGTCGTCGATTGAAGAACGCTAGCCACCTTCGGGGAAAGCTGTACACTCATCCTGTCCAGAGATATACCCATCACAGTCTACCCCATTGGATCGCACAGTTTCTGTGTCGCCCGGGAGTGGAGGGATCGCTCTTACCAGATATAGGGCACACGATAGACCTGAATGATATGCATGACATCTGGGACGCCTTGGTCATGCTGGGGCTACCCGACCCGCTCAAGCCAGGCTCTTCTTTCTTCACCTCTAGCCGCGACGGTGGTGAAGTTCATCTGGCTTTCGCATTGAGCTTGGATGGGTTCAATCCTCGAGGGCGCAGGGAAGGCGGGAAGAAATGCTCATCTACCGAAATCAGCCTGGTATGCCTCAACCTTCCGCCCAACATACGGTTTAAGGACGAGAACATGATTCTCATCGGCATTGTCCCTGGGCCGAAGGAGCCCTCCTTGGAGCAGATTAATTTTGTTCTCCGTCCGCTCGTCGATGATCTTCTAGAACTATGGACCACTGGCGTGTTTTTGTCTCAGACGCCAGAAGTACCCCGCGGCAGGAGGGTTCGTGCAGCACTAGTACCCCTGGTGGCTGATATGCCAGCTGCGCAACAGGCTGGTGGATTCGCCGGATTTCGCTCAAAACACTTCTGTACTATCTGCCATTTGCATAAGCGTGATATCAACAACCTTGACAAGTAAGCAAATCGTGATCCCCTACACTAACAATTATCTGATCAGACAGGTCCACATGGGCCCCTCGTGACAATGCGTCGCATCGTCAGACGGCTGAACAATGGCGATCCTTAGAGACTTGGAAGGAGCGCGATGATCTCTACAAGGTCACTGGTGTTCGCTACTCGGAACTCCTTCGGCTGCCTTACTGGGACGCGATACTGTGGAACGTAGGCGAAGTCATGCATACCGGACATCACAACGTGGGCGGCCATCATTGTAAGAGCTTTCTGGGCATGTCTCTGGAATTTGCCGACGGCGATGGCACTCTCCCAGAACCCGTCCGAAACGGGGCTGATCCACACTTGGTCGATAATGCTTGGTCGCACGTCCGATGGTCTCCGAAGGAGGAGTTGCAGAAGCTTAGTAAGATAATATTGGAAGCTCTCGTGTCTCGGGCCGCGATCAGATGCAAAACGCATACTAAGGATGGCATGAGCGAGGCCCTACATCGGTTTGTCCGTCGAAGCCTTTTCCGCATGCACATAATGTCAGCTGCTGACGCGATGAGTTAGCGAGTGGCGAAGGGGTGGTTTGACCAGAATGGCCATTTGGTCGAGCCCTCGAGAGGTACAGCGCAGTCGGAACAGGTGCCTCGGCCAGTCGACGACCTGCAACTCATGGATCGAGCTGCAACAAGCGCGGACGTGGACGTCATGCTTACTTATTTTAGATATGCTCCTAGCATCAAAGAGCTGAAGCTATTCACAGCGCAAAAGCTCAAGGTGCTTCTGCTCAATGTCGTCCCAGGTGCCTTGGTCGACACGAGCAAACGCGGCTTGATATGGAGTTATACGAAGGCTCAGTGCCTTAAAGCACTCGCAAGTGAGGTAGGTCATGCCTTTTCTTCGTGGGTAGCATGGGCTAAACTATGACCTACTAGCGAGTTAAGCAAAAAATTGTAGACGAAGATGGTGCAGTGAGGGACCAAGACGAGGAGTTGATGAACGAGGCTCGGAGGACGATGGAGGCCAAAAAGAAGACGGTCATTCTTGGGAGTGAGCGCTTGCGTCTCGTCCATGAAGACATTGGTGCAACTATCGTGCCTGCTTGGATGGGCCACATTTCCAGGATTTTCGGTACCCCCTCCGCTGGGACGACCCACGCCAATGACCTTTTCTGGTTTTGTGTCGTCTATCTGCCGATCACTCTTGGGCGATTATGGGGCCATTACCCTGTACACACTCGGGAGCGCCAAATTCTAGACTGTACCATGTGGCTGGCCTTGACTTTGGAACTGACCGCATCAGATGTTCTCAATCTGGAGGCAGTGCGGGACGCGGCTCTTGCTTACCGCGAATACGTCCATGCGCTGAGGCATCTATTCCCTGATATTCCCCTATACCCATGTCATCATGATATGTTCCATATTCTGGATCTGCTCCCGTATTTCGGCCCCACTGCCAATTGGAACGCGTATGCCTACGAGAGGAGTATCGGACTTATGCAGAGGGTGCCAACCAATAATCGACCCAGTGAGTTCCATCATTACGATATGAGGTCTCCGATCGCTGATCTTCGCGCAGGCGAGATGGAAACTACCATCTTTACAGCCACGTGCCAGCGAAGGCGCCTCCGTACTGTAATCGACGCACTGGACGCAGGAGAGCTGGACACTAGTGGCATGGACGAGCCGACACTCAGCTCTCAGCTGGAGAAACTACGCGAGGTGTATGCAGAAACTCCGGAGAGGCGCAGACGCGGGACGCTCTACACCGACGTGTTGTCCCCAGTCGGCGAACTTGGCCTCCGAGACTTCGCCGCGCAGATTGTCGGCAAGAAAAGGAGCCCAGCGCCAGACCACTGGAACATAGAACTAGATCGCATCCATAATACGGCAAACAACCCTTGGCGCACGACTCGTTCCGTTGTATACTTGAACGAGGTCAAGATACGAGGTGCCATCTATGGCACCTCTCATCCAAACTACTATGTTGCTATCCCGGATCCGGATCCTAAGGCACAGGCTGGGGAGGGGTGGCGAGCAGCGCGAATAGTCAAACTCTTCATCACTCCTGCAACGCAGTCGAACGAGGTCGCTCGAGGCTTCGCCGTAGTTCGAGGCTTCCACACTCTATCCGCCGATGACGAGGTCAAGGATAACTATCGGAGATACAGGCGCGGCGGGAGGCTTTTCTACCGAACTGAAGACGAAGCCGAGAAGATCATCGGCATCGACGACCTTCTAGGCAATTGCACGCGTATTGACTTAGAGTCGATGGGCACATCGCGGCCAGTCTTTCAAGCGAAGGCACTCTTCGTTGGTAAGGCGGCTAGCTCACCTAGCGTGGCTGTCCCGTCGTCCAACGACGTCAACGCGACCAGCACGACCACAGACTTTTGACCGCTCAAATGCGCTCACATCCGAGGTGCGCGTTCTGCTGTGTCTAAACCGTTCTTGTATCGTGCACTTGGCTCATCATCTCATTGTTAGATACATGGTGCATGCGATTGTTGCATGACGCGAGTCGTACAATACGTGCAGCACGTTATGCGGAAGGGTGTATGAGGCAAGAGAGCGGAGGTTTGTCTGAGACAGGCTGCAGCAGCGAGACGGCCATGTATTCCAGTGATAGAAGTCAAAAGCATGTGTAGATCATTGGTTCGGCGCGCAGATGGCTGTGCGAATAGAGGCTTGATGGTATGAGAGCGATCGATGCCGTCGGGTGCCGTGCGAGAGTTTGCAACGACGCGCATGAAACTCACGAGTACCTTCATAGTCGGCCTCCACCTCCACCTTTGGTCTGTCATCCACACGCCAGAGCGTATCTATTAGTCGATGCCCCACCAGTCTTCGTATTTTAACTGGCCGCAAGAGCTGACGCAATGGTTCATTTATCGCTGGGCCATCAGCCATGAGGTGTGCACAAAGGCCTTTGTTCTTGCGTGACGACTAGATATAACCAAGGTGAATGTGAGCTACAGCCCTGCCCTGGCTCGCTACCATCATGCGCTCCTGCAACAGGAAACGTCGTGACACGACCTACGCGGCCTGCGCAGGTACTTTGAAGACCAGTCGTGGGTTGGCGGATATGCCTAGGGACGTAATCGTCGAGGTCAGTACAATGCCAGAACTCCCGGAATTTGGCTAAGCAATTGCGGATATAGATAATTCTATGGCTATCTCCTCGTGCAGTTATGGACCTGATTGCGGCTATACGTGCGCGCTCGGTGATGGACTCGCAGGATTTCGAATGGGTCTGGAAGCAGGTTGCGACCGGGGCTGTTCAACAGGGATATCCCTCCAAACCGGCAACCTTGTCGGCAAGGGTCTGGTGTGGCTTGTTAGCCTCTGAACGCCTTTGTACAGTGCGTGGGGCTGCTGTGCTGGATATTCCATATCTAACTAATGGCTGCAGTTGTGCAGGAAAAGGACATCGAGTTCAACTATGTGGGCTTTGTCCTGCCGCTTGTGCAAAGAGTGCTCACGCAACGAGTACGTACTTGGGATGATATTCAACAGTATCACACTCCATTTATACATCTTCAGGCTGGTACCCTCATCGCGCATCCCGTCGTTATTACCACCTTCCACCATGGAGCACCTACCCAGTCACTTGCTTCTGGCTCTCATACTCCCGCACGAGAACAGTACGAGACCAGATCTATATGCAGTGGATGAAATTCTCATATGCTATTTTGATAGCTCGCTCGAACAGCGAACGAGGGGAATGTTACTTTCGCAGGGTGGATATTGATGCCTATTGCGAGGACATCTCTGCCGTCATTCGCACTTACACGGGTGATCCTGAGACCCTATCTATGGCGTTGGAAGTGCTTGACTATAAATGGACACGCTCGACTAAAAAGCAAATGGATGTATGTCTTACCCTCCTACTCTGCGTCGGATATATGTGACATCTCGTGATAGTTTGCCGCCATTCTGTATGCCATGGACCCGGACATGCACACGATTTCACCCACCCGCGCTTGTGTTGCCCAACAATCACGAGAGTCCAGGTAGGACACTACTACTACTAAGAGGACATAGTGTCTCACTGTGATTAGCGTGCTTTCGGTCTATACACAGCGTGATTTTACGGAGCACATCGTCAATGTAGCACTACGTGTCCACCCTGAAATGACAAATGCGGGACGTTCCACTTCAATCGGTACAGTTGCCCTTGTCTTTCTTTCATGTACACGCTGAAATTTTGTTGAGTCGGCCGGCAAGCTTTCGAGCGCACGCTCCGCCAGATGGATGCATACACGAAAAGGACGGCCTTGCTCGAAAGTGCCATCAAACACTACAGTCAATTCATCGCCAGGACGGATCCGATCATCATGACATTACTCCCCACAATACCCCGCTTCCTTTCGAATGGTGTTCTCTCGCATCTTCAAACCGTACAGCGTTCGGCCCAATCTACGAATCATCAATACACGCTGCTGCAGAACTACTTCCGCTCCATCGTCCCTGCAGATCTCCGGAACTGGATTACAAGCAGAGCTACTCGGATACGCAATGCAATACCGCCTAGCTGGCCCGTTGGTACCTTGACACCTGTCATACCCTCGATCCCGGCCAATAAATCTTACTGGATGACGCCGAGTGGGCTCATGGACCTTGACCTCGCACTTTACGCTTTCACGATGCGGCGTACGCACGGTACTGGTACCTCGGTCTTCTTTGGCCTAGAGTGTTTATCGTGTCTGTGCTATCTATATCCGGACGCGGATGTCAAGCCCAGCGTCATCGGACATCTTGCAGCAAAGAAGGCTCTGGTATTATTAGGATTGGATCCGGCTGGAACCTCGTGTGCTGTAGCAGACGAGGCGGGGGGGGCATTCAGGTGTCTAGTGTGTCCCGACTCAGGTCAGCGTTCGTGGAGGACCATGGTAGGTGTGCAATCGATTTGGTTCTGTATTCATCTCATTATATTATAGGTATGCCACATGACCAAGCACCCCATCGACGCAGCAATGTGCTTTGAGAGAATCGCACGAACACCGAAGTCTTCCCACCGTGACTCAACTAACTTTTGGGGTTGCTGTCATTGTCTCGCCCATATGAGCTCAAATACGTGGTTCACGCGTGCACAAGTTGAAACGCATCTCGATACTCAGTGAGTCTTCGCATTTGGCTGACTGACTTCAATTGCTGACTGAGTTCAGGCACGGCGTTTCTCGAGGAATGGAAAACATAGATATGTTTTTTCGATGGAACTTCGTTTGGGAACGGAGGGAAAAGTCTCGATTGAGCGTGGCCACTAGTTGGGGGTAGAACCAGCGCATTGCCTGGATTGGATCCTCAACTACTGTTCTCGCAGGCTACACCTGTGCATACTACGATCTCTAGAGCAGCGATCTATATATTTGTGCGCTATGCATCGTGCATCGTCATGCGAAAGCTCGAGGGGGGCTCTAATATCTCAATCATGTGAGAGATGCAATACTTACTTGGGATTACCTATGTAACAGGCTTGTGAGCATGGTTAAGCGACTGAACCCTGATATATGACGAAGCAGCCGCATCGTACCGGGTCGTCGCGTCGAGGGGCTTCCAGCCCTCGTAGAATCTAGTGTGCATCGGTGATCGCGACGGTGGCCCTCTGCGCTTTGGCAGTGGCTCGACGACGAGGCCGATACATCCGCCACACAAACAGCGGGTGATAGCGTTGCTGATATCGATGAACGTGATGTAGACGGGCTTCCCGTCGCAGCAATGCTCTAGCATTGTGTGTAGGAAACGGACGTACTATACAGGCGATTCTGTCGGCGTCACACAATCGGGTGCCACATACAACTTGTCCAATTGGGGTGAGCGGGGTGTTGCTAGAGGCGTCGTCGTCGTCGGAGGTAGGTTCCAAAGCATTGGCGGCGGAAAAGTCAACGATCGAGAAGGCGGAATATGTGCATTTGTCCGGCCACCCTCTCGATATCGAGTAGGCTACTCGGGATCGCGATTTCTGCAATGAGCGGTGCATGAGTGGGGAGTCGTCCTCGATTCTCGATATGCATGTGTATGAGAGGCGGCGCGTCCATGGCATGGGCGCGTACCCTGTAATCGATGTCGGCGAGGGGACGGTCGTATTGGGTGGCACCAAAGGAGGTTCAGCGACCAGGCTCGTCGAGACCCTCCAACTCATCGAGCAAGCAGAGCTCCGAGCCTCGGAACTCAGTGATGAGATGATCTTCTGTGAAGTTGGTCTTTCAGTTCGCAAACCAGTGCAAGACGTCGCCTACTTCCCGCTGGCCCATCTGGGCATTGGAGTCGCCTCCGACGAGAGGCGGCTGGTCCACAACACCTATACGAGCGATGGTTTCGGCAATCTGGGTCGCAGACGTAGCCGAGCACTCGTTCTGATATCCAGCAGACGGTAGCCGTTGACGAGACTGATGGGGCAGAGTTGATCGTCATGAATTCCGTCTGTAGACCAGCGACGCGGATGCCGACTAACTTGATAAGGTCAGTCCTAGGTATATCAGCGAGTCCACCTCCTTGGTGTATCCACAGGAGGAAAAACACCTTCAGCTCGTATTCTGACAGCACTGGCAAGATCAGGTCTTATTCAGCTGATCTCAAACCGTTGTGAGCGCTAGTCGGATTCCTTAACAAACGGCAGGGTTGTTGATCCCACGAGCGAGCAAAGATACAGCATACGAATTGGCAGCAGGGCGCGAAGTCAGGCTGATACACATAATCGATAATTGTCTTCTTCAAGTGTTTCTGATGATACGGAGAGGAGAACCCCCTACAATCTTCATACCAATCATACGGGGAGGAGGCGGGTAGAACTCGTTCCAGCAGGTGTGCCGCCATACTGATCTCCATATTCAAGTTTAGAGTAGGCGGCGACATGAGCGTCAATGCACATGGTACGCGCACAGGGAGTTGGTGTCCGAGCGAACGGAGCGAACGGAGCAACCGATGGTAGTAGAGACATTCTGCACACGGTGTTGAGCTCACATCGACCGAACGAAGAGCGACTGCGGATGCTCCACCACTGTTTGCGATGGCCTCGGAACGGCCGCTCGTGCAAGCTTGAGCGGCCTATAAGCTCCGAGCGACCGTCGAGGCGACGCTCCAACCCGCACCACGACTGAGTGAGCGAACGGCCAAATTACCGTGTGCGGAATGTCTCTAGTCTCGCATTGACGCAAGAGTACGTCGACGTTCGGATCTTGTTGCGAGAATGGGCCGAGCGCGATTTACTCGCATCGGTGCACGAACTTGCCAGATTGGCCATCACGGCGGGTAGAGACTCGTGGACGATCTCGCAGGTTCGAGTGAATCGGGAGCAGGAACCTGGAGAATAGGATCTAAGGTGGAAGAAGTGAGGTAGTGAAGAGAGTAATCTATTGTGGTACGACCGTCTCAAAGTTCGGCGACCAAATGAAGGTCAGGACGAGGGCTACCGGCACGGCGCCGCGGTATGAGGGGACACAGTCCAACTTGCCGATTGATCAGGAGTGTACCGGCTTGAGCTGGGCGCAGGCTGTGGTGCCTACGGATTGCGCGTGAGTGGGAAAGTTAAGCAAACCAATAGGTTGTGGAACATACAATATGTAGCGCCTGGGTTTTACCTTCAAGTGCTTTGTATCCGCCTCTGTCGCGGCGAGGGTCGAGATATTAGGAGGGTGATCGAACGCGGTTACGAGGGTGGTGAGCCTATCTTTTCATGCGCGGCAACTGTCAATGTCGCCTCGTATCAAAGACGAAATGACGAACGAGTGTGCTGACATCGTCTTGAACGATGTAGGTGTGGCTGACAGCGAAAACATGATGCCTCCAGTCACAATTACGAGACCATCGGGCCAGTCCTGTACGCTGACGACAGCGGCACTCTGAGCGTAGACGTTCTCGTGAAGCGGTTCGGGATGAGGACGGTTTGAAGTTTGAGATCTGAGCAACGAGCGTGAAAAAGGTTTGGCACGTGTCGGGTGTTGCCGAGCGGCAGCAAACCAGTTCGCTGCGCGCCCATGGTATGGATGTCCTCTACAACCACCATGATCTGCGTCTGCTACGTTCTACCCATACCTTCATTTCTGATATGTGACGCTATATGGGCCGCGTATTATTGCTGATTTCCTTAATGATCCCTATTCTCGCGTGTCCTTTGTTTGGCATCCCCTTGAATTATATATACGTGCATGTGGGTTTGTGAGAAGAACCGAAGGCTCTTGCCACCGAACGCCCAGCTTTGGATTGAGTCCTCTGTAGCACGCTGATGGCTTCGTCTTCGCCAACTGCCACCCGCTCCGACGTAGTATTTTGTGCTCCAGATGCCGAGATCACCCTACGGTCCTCCGACGGTGTCGACTTTAACGTCCATATCTCCATCCTCAGGCTTATCTCCCATGTCTTCGTGGATATGCTCTCAATCCCCCAAAGCCCCGCGCTGGAGGCCAGCAAGCGCCCGGTAGTTCAGATGACTGAGGACACCGACACTCTTCGTCTTCTCTTGAGCTTCTGCTACCCACGGTCCTTTATTGAAGAACCTTCACTCTACACCCTCGAAGATATCAAACGCACCGCAGTCCTCGCGCAGAAGTATGACATTGATTTTCTGCGCGAGAGATCTGAATCGGCCCTGGTCAAGCTTTCAGCACTGAAGCCATTTGCAGCATATGCAGTGGCATGGCGGTTTGGTTATGCCGCAGCTGTCCGTGCGGCTGCACGGAAGACTCTGGATGCTCCGTACGCCTTGCGTGCATGTGGGAGCCGTACTACACCTGGGAGCTATGAACACACAGTCGAATACGACGAAGTACCAGGAACCGCGTTCATACGCTTATGGCGCTATCATGACGCCATGTTGGAACTTGGTTCAATAGCCTACGCGACTAAGGAGTGCCCGATCTCTTGGGTCGGCGCTGAGACCGTCAGAGCCCAGCGTCTGGGAAATGACGAGGCGGAGGTCTGCAATTGTCCCCGGGAGACTATCTGGTTCGCAAATCACCGCGACGGTGGTGTATCGAACGTCGAGCAACGACGCGTCCACACCTGGTGGCGCAGCTACACGCAGCTTGTCTTACTCGCGTTCATGCAGGAGTATCGGCCATCGCTGGAACATATTCTCGACGATCAAATGCTTGTTGCCATGAATAGGGCAGGAGGGTGCTTAACGTGCTCTCTCACTGCGTGCAGTGTGCTGCCAACAACCAAGGAACCCCTCCGTAATGAGATTGAGCGTCGTCTTGACGAGGTGCGCCTTGATGTGTTCTGTTGACTCTCTAGCCTAACGCAACTACAAACAGGTGCCACTTATGCTTTGAATGAGCAGCGTTGAGTAGACATCTCACCGGTGGCTTGATTTAACGTGACCAATGCATACGCCCAGTGTGAAGTTGAATGGGTGACATGACACGATACAGCTGTAGAAACATGATACACCGCCTCTTGTCCGCGTAATCCCTCATGTAGTATCTAATTTCAAACTTCGCCTCATTCGCTCGTTCCTGAAACACACAAGCAGACTTGCTGCGAACCGTGATGTCCGGTTCTCGCAAGGCGTCCTCCCGACCTCGCGATGTAGGTCGCTATTTCTAGATGCTGGACTTATACTTTCGCTCGCTCGTCATCCCAAGCTATTCTTGTCTTGTACTCTCAGAACAATACCTAGTATTGTATGCACGCGGATGACTAGCAGGATGGGTACAGTGCTAAGTATAACCGCCACATGATGCATCTCTTTCAGCGCGTCACCGCAACAATCCCAGTCCAGGACCACCGCGCTTAGGCGCGCACATTTAATCCGACAACATGTACGTGACATTGCGCCTCATGCTATGTAAGTGAGATAGTATATCGGCAATAAAGCATCCTGACGCCTGTTTCATCATGTCATCATCCCCACGACTTCACGTCGGCCACGATCTTCGCTTCTGAGACACACCCCCTCGTCACTTCAATCGCCTGCACTCCGGNCTCCGCAACCCTTGCACACCTTCAAAGCGCTGGCCCCTGGATGGAGGCGCTGCGGGCACCCCTTCCACGCACAAACCCGCGCAGCAGGCTGACCGGCCTTCGTATCGGCGTTCCCCTCTTCGAAGCCTAGATCTCGGCCAAGCTTCTCCCAAGTGTCAATCAAAAGTCCGTGAGCGTACGCGAGGTCTGGCAGAGGCGTCGTATCGCGCAGTGCGTGCAGAATGGGGCGCCACTCTCGACGTAGCACCTTGCGCATATCTTGGCGCTGTTTGCTCTTCTTTCTGTACCCGTTGATCGCCACAGCCCATTCGCCGATACCCCGCACGCAATCCGAACATAGGCCTGGGAGTTCAGAGTCAGTCCGCAGGAGCGGAGCTAACGGTCTAACCACTTACGATAGAGGTCCTTGCTTGCGTTTCCCAGCCGTGCCTCGGCCCGGCAGATGTCCAGGGATTGAACTAGGATGTTGAACAGCCGCCCGCCTCGGATGACCGTTTGAATCGCGGGACAATGCGCAAGGATGGGAAGCACATGATCGATCATAACGCTAAAGTCGGCGGGGAGGGGGGGAGGGGGGG